GGCTGGGGTTGGGGGAAAAAAATTAGAAGGCTGCAAGAGGCTGATTTTTTTTTGTTGTTTTTTCTTTTTATTTTTTTTTTGTGCTACTTGATCGAATGCATGAACCCTTTGTGCCTTTGACCATCACTACCTAATGATGCTCCATGTAACCATTTGCAGCCCATTTGGACTTTGCCATTTTGTTCAAAGAGCAAGCTTCATGTTGAGTTGGGGGGAGCCGCGGCCCCTCGCACTGCTTTCAGTTACCACAACAGGGGAAGGTCAAACCCAGTGATCACACTGAAAGACAAGGAAAGGCTAAGTTTACATATCCAGCCGCTGTTATGGGCCACACTAAGCCACTTTGAAGGGTTTTTTCTTTTTTTTTCTTTAAAAAAAAAAAAAAAAAAGAAAAAAGAAAGAAAAAACCTATTACAAGAAAAGAAAACCACCACCTCTCTAGCCTGGCTTATAATAGATGCAGCAGGATTTATGCACGTTCTGCAACCAACCATTAGAGGAGAAAAAGAAGAAAAAAAAAATGTCAAAAGGCAGGGATAACAGGAAAGTTACCAAATTTTTTAGTTTCCGAATGTAATTTGAATGATGATTGTGGTAATAGTGACACATTCAAGTTTCTACAATAAACTTCAGTCTACCTCAGTTTAAAAAAAAAAAAAGAAAAATGTGGCAACACATGGTGCATAAAGACTGCTGTGTGTGTGAGTGAGCGCGTGCGCGCCTGTATGCGTGTGGTCGACAGAGCCATGCTATTACCTCTGAACCTTTTTTTGTGATGTTTTTGTGCATGAGATGATCAGAATCACCATGCTGCACTGACTTGAGGGGCACAACGAGCAAAAACATTTGTTTCATCATTTTGTTATCTACCTCTTAGGTTCATGTTGAAATAGAGGCATTACTACATAGACTAGATAATTTTCCCAAAGATCATTGTTGTACAGATTAGATAATTTTGAAAATGGTCTGAAGTGTTTTTTCCTGCATCTCTTCTTTACTAATTGGTTTAAAAACCACAAACTTATGTTGTAGTTTTAGCAGAGAAAAATGAGTTTCTTTTTCCTTTTTTTGACAGTGACCTTCATCTAGCCTTTAGGATAACTACTATTTTTTTTTCTTACAATGAATTTAAAATTACTGAAGTATGAAAAGTCATAGCATTTAATTTTTGTTGAGGCTTAAGTCAGACTGACGTTCCTTTCTTAACATTTGAGAAGGATTTGACTTCATTATTTTCCATAAAAGTTACTTTACGAATATGCGCTGCATTTACATCTGCTGATTTAAATACTGTCATCTCTCTTAAATTTCTAGACTTAGTATGGTAAATCATGTTTGTTTTCTTATTTTCAATTGAGACTTGGTAATTTGGAGTATTTGGGAATAGCTAGAAAGTAAATACTGTAAATGATTTCAGTATCCACAAAGTATGGATCATTTTTCATCTGTAATGTGCCCCCCAATGCAGCTCCACTTGCCAGATGCCTCTGAATGGAATAAAGAGTTTAACTCCTATCATCAGATACGGTCGTGTGGTGTCTTCTTGAGAACCTCGTGAGGCCGCGGGGCCGCTGGCTCGGAGCAGCCCTGCTGCTTTCTGCTGCAAGCTCTGYGACTTGATGAACCAAGTTGCTCAGGGTTGTCTGTCCAGACCRGTGACCATGTGAGGGCCAAGGGCCACCCCGGGCTTCCAGCAGCGCCAGGGTGCCCAGCAGCGAGTGCTCTTGAAGAGCAGTAACTTTTGTGGCCTCTAGCTCCTCTCTCTCCTTGCGTATAACGCTGCCCCCAAGCCCACAGCACGACCCTAGTTCATGGTCCCCGTTTTGCTGGGATGTCCTGGGTGCGTTTGCTCTGGCGGGGCTGGGACCCAGGGCAAACACGGCGTCTGCTCCAGCCCTGTGTGAGCCCAGCTGGTACCTGTGAACMTTTGTGACTGCTTTTCACCTGGCCCTGGTGCTCTATAGACACCCGGCTAGGCTGAGCTTGCCACACTAAATCTGAGCCCTGCAGCAACCCCCATCGCCCCTCTACGCCATCACCCTGCGCACACCCCCAGCCAGGGAGCTTCTTGGCTTAGATCCCTTTTGCTTCCCGTCACTGGGAAGTGAAATGAGAATAGATGTTTAAAGGTGAATATTTTAGAGTGGAGGAGAGTGAGTGAAGAAGTGCTCATGAGTAAAACCATTCTGTATCTTTGAAAGAGGAGTGAAAAGCCAGGTTCCTGKTAGCTTCCGAATGATTGTAGCTTTCCACCTCCCAGGGCAGCTGCTGGGACCCAGTAGGCACAAAGATTTGGGCTCGAATTGCATTGAAGAAGCAGTCTCTGCAGCAGACACTTGTGCATGGCAGTGTGGTTCAGAGACCTTCTCCCACACCTCTAGTGGGCTGCCTTCCATGGCCTGGCACCCCTGGCACTTGAGCAACCTAAGTTAAACCTCCCTCGGCATCGCTGGAGCACCGGTGCTAGCCGAATCCTCCCCTTGCTTAAGCCTTTGCTACAGCGTGGTGCTTATAGTTGCTTTCTGACCTTGCAAAGCCTTTGTTCCTAAGCGGCCCTTCCCCGGCCTGCGCTCGTGCCTGGCGCGGGCAGCGCGGGTGGCAGCAGCCCAGCCTGCTGCCGGGGCAGGCGCCTTTCCAGCAGCGTGCCGAGGGGAGAGAGCATCGGAGCGGTGCGCGAGAGGCACTCGGCACAGCCCCGACTGGCTGCCTAAACCTACGCGACCACAGTGCAGGCCACTGGGGATACAAGGCCCAGAGASCTGGACTTGCACCTTTTTCCTCCATGCACCCCATCATCAAGAGCTGCTGCAGGGACTCACCTGTGCAGCTGTAGAGGCGGTGGCAGGGCAGAGACCAGCAGTAGCTCCTGGCTCTAACCCAGTTCTTACCCAACACATCTGGCTGGAGCAGTAACTTGGTGCAGAATGTGACAGTTTCTGTCAAAGGGGGAGTGAAGTTCTTTTCTGAGCTAGAAATCCTCATATTTAACAATAACCAGTGCATCTTTCCTCATGCTTTCACTTAACTCCTTTTCAYAATGTGCTTTAGCAATAAATTCAGTTGTTTTTTTCTTCTGTTTTACTGCTTTTGTCCACTTGCTGCTGCTTTTTGTCTYGTCTCAGCTCCAAGACTATCATCCCTTTCCCGCTTTAAGGGTTCTAGTTGGTTCACGTGGAAGCTGTTCCCGATCTTCGTGTTCTCTGGCCCTTTCCTCTTGTTACTGCTGTCTTTGAGAGGCTCCTGCCCGCAGCTCTGGTTACCAGCTGTGGGTTCCTGCACTGGCACGATGCTTTCCATTAACCTGCTGCGGTGCAGCCACCACTCGCAGCAGCACAAGGCAAACGGAGCAAGAGTCGCAGGGAAGCCTGCAAAGTTACTGGGAAATATCATTCCTCAGAGGAAATGTCTGATTTCGAAGCCGTCCCTCCACATAAAGCCTCAAGGTTATCTTTACCCCCGTGGATTACTTATTGCCGAGTGCCACGATAGAATCTTGCACATCTTTTTTTTTTTTTTTTTTTTTTTGCAGGCATCACTAGTGCCTTTCTTACAAGGGCACAGCTACTGTATCTGCAGCGTGTAACTGCATCAACAAAGGGGCCTTGTTTAAGGTGCAGAACTATCTGCTGCCTTTTAGCAAAGAGAAGATTAATTCACGGCAGTTACTCCTGAAAGAACAGAGGCCAGGCACACGGGATCAGCCTGAGCGCTTTTTGTTTAACAACAACAACAAAAAAGTGTGGTCCAGACCCTTAATGCGGGACCGTGCCACCAAGAAGTTGCCAAGAAATGGCTCTACACTCCAGGTGAAGTGGGGGAGACAGAATAAAATCTGATTTGCAAAAGGGAAGCAAGTTGCTTGGGATACAGTTGGGCACATTTCAAGTGATTCAGAGACCTGGCATTGTTGGGACTGCTACTTAGTGTTTTTGAAAGCAAACAACTGTGGGCAGTCCTTATTGCTGCAAGACATTAACATTTCAACAGCTGTTAAAACTTCCGAACCATTTCGTGCTCATGGGATGAAAAAATCAGCTGCTTTCTCCACCTACACTTTCTGCAATGTCTGTCACTAACGAGCAGCTCCTGTTTTGATTCCATCCCTCGTGGCAGCCCTTTGGTGCAGGTTGGGTGCTGTCAGGTCGCTGCAGCCAGCAGGACACAAACGCTTGCCGTCTGCGCCTGTTTCCAGTCGCCCAACCCTCCCTGCTGCGCCAGTGCCCGAGGAGCCCCCGTAAGGCCCCCTCAGGCAGCACCCCCTTTCCTTGCTCCCTCCGGAGTGTCCCCTTGCACAGCAGCAGCAGCTCTGCAGGGGGCAGGCTCAGGCCGAGCTTAGAGCAGCTTGTGCGACTATGGAGGGAAAAGGCCCCAGACTTAGCCTGGCGGGGCACGAGGGGAAGGGATCCTAACCTCAGGGTGTATGTTTTACATGTCGGGAATTGTTGTTACTAAAGCTCTTCTGCACCGCTGTGAGGAGGAGCAGCAGTGACTGCGTGGGCACAGCGGACACGGCCGCCTGGCCCCCTGAGCTGGCCCCGGGCACCAGGCAGGGCCCAGGGCCGCATCTCACCCGYCCTCCCTGCAAAGGGGGCCCGGCCGTTTGCGCTGCCACAGCCTCTCACCTCKGTCCCCTGCCAGTAACTAGGCGAGAGGAAAAGGGGAGAAGCCAGCTACACGCACAGTGAACCACATCTTTTAATGTGCAGGAGGAGTTGACGCTCTTCCGGGGTTTTCAATTAAAAACACATTTGCCTTGGCTGAAGAACTGAATTTCTGGGAACTCAAGGTGTATGTGTCACTCCTCTTCACTAGGTGCTCACTTCGTACCAGTCCATTCTCGCTCTTCCTTCAACTCCCAAGGCAGCATGATTTGCTTCCCCACAAGCAGAAGCACCTGACCTTCTGACCACCTCACCAAAAAGGTTTCACTTAAGGCATACTGCTCCAGGCAGGTCTCAGTCTTCCAGCACTCACTTTTTGCAGGAATGATACCTCGTGTGCTTTATTGTTACAGTAAGAGCTTTCACCAATAAAATAAAAGCCAGGGGGTCAGAGACTTTCAGATAAGCAGCTTCAGTAGCTGTTGGTTCCCCACTCTTCTCACCACAACCACCCTCAAGACAGCAACTCCACCATGAAGTTTCCTTATGATTCAATTCCTTCCTTAGGATAAAGCCTGACCAGTTTAATAGCTTGTTCAGAAGCGTACACAGGCACGTCCAGTAAAACACACTGCTCTGCGCCAATCACCCGCACTGAGTGTCAAGTCAGCGATGCCACCCCAAGCGGGAGCCCTGTGAGGACACGCTTCACTTTCCATATGGGCAGCTCAGTAGCTTTACTAAGCTCTTGCTGCAGCTCGCTGCAAGGTGACAGTCACTGCTGTTGGGGATCCAGTCCCAATACGAAGTCTTCTGGCAGCACCTGCGGAGTCATCTGAGCTAACTGGTCGTCGTAGGAATGGAGAGTCCAGAGCTTCTCCAATTCGTACCTCTCTCTCGTCTCTGGGAGCATGAAATGCATCACTATGTCACCTGCACAGAAGAGAAAGTCACAATAAATAAGCAGTCGCAGATGGCCTGCGAGTCCTTTACAGCACATGTCTGGGCAATGCATCCAACATGTCAAAAACAAGCAGCTACCAGCTTAACTTAATAGGGTGATAAGTAGACTTATTTTAGTCATCTAGCAGCAGTGAAACTTTGCCCACTCCACTAAATGAGTTGTAAAACTACCACCTTTCAAGCTGCACAAATAGTCCAAGTGCCTCATGCTGATTCTGGCCAGGTGTGACAGATAAGCTGTGGGAGGCCTCCTCTTTAAGTTGCTAGTTCCAGGTCCTAAACAGAGCTAGGAATCAGACATTCCTGTGGAAAACTCCCAGAGCGCAGCCAGGAGAAAAGGGCAATATTCTAGTGTAAACTGAAACTCTATCACCAGACTCCAGACCAAAGTAAAGTTGCCACTTCTAAGGCATGTAAAGAAGAAGAGAGAGAAATTTTACCTGAAGGAGCACTTTCCCTACAGTTCCTTAGGACAAACTTCCAGCTTTCAGTAGTATTATTCAGCTATATCCAGTAATTTTTCCATTTTGCACAGACATTCAGAGTTTTCATAAAGAAAGAGGTCTGAACTCCACCTTAGGCCTCACCTTCCCACTGCAATTAGGTTTTTCTTGTATGCTCACTACTGCTTGTACAGARTAAGTGATAAGAAAGCTAACCTCAGTGTACTCTTACAGCACACTTTTTTTTTCTAGGAATGCCTTAAATTTCAATTGATTTCAGTTAGAACTGTCAAAATCATTGCAAGTGAAGTGGCTGAGGCTTCACAGCACTGGCTGTGCTGCCTCCTCACCCACCTGTGGCCACTTGCTTATCCTTAACCCCAAGCACAAATCCAGACGGTGAGGTTCTAAAGGTGGTAACAATGGAGAAATCCCCTGTTGAAAGCAAATCCCCTTCTGTTTGTGTGCAGTGTTTCACACTTTTGGAACAAAAAAACAAAATAAACTGAGCTTCTTTAGAAGTGTGGATTCACCCATTATCCTGTGTTGGGTAACAGGACTGGAACAGTGAGGAGTTTCATTTCATTACCAGGCAAGCAYGAGGCACACAGATACACACCATGCAATTATATAAACTTCAAAAAATTGACTGAGTTGTTTCCTCCTTCCTAAATTACTGTATTTTCAATTTATTAAGACCTGTTTCAGGTCCTGAAGAGTAACTACTGCTGCTTTCTTCTCAATGCCAACGATCTTTAGCAAAGATGAACTCAGTTATCTCAGTGAATTCAAGTAACAGGAACAGGAATTCTGGAACAGCAGAGTATTGTCGACTCTCCACAGCAACCAGGGCTCACACTGAGACACTTCCTTCAGCACAGAGCTCATGCAGAACTTGGTTGTTTGTCAGATTCACAAATATTTACCAAAATCAATGCACAGCCAGTCGTCTGTCTCTTTCCCTTCAATGACAGCATGAGGATCACTTCCTTCTTTCTGATGCTTATACTGAGAGAAAAACAGCATAACATTACTTCACACTTGCTTAAAAGCACTCAAACTTAGCAGATAAGCTGGATGTTGTCATCTAGAGTTGTTGCAAGTCTGAAATAGTAATGCTAATTACTATTATTACTATTATATATATTATAATATTATATATTACTATTACTAAGTGATTATGTAATGCTAATTCTGTAGTCTGTAGAAGAAAAAAAAGGTTGTATTAATGAGAGTTAGTATCAAATCTGACATTGCAACACTCAGAATTTCTACAGTTATGTATAAGGGTGAGGGTTTTTTTTAATCAATTTTGGGCACAGCTGCTCAGCAATAAAGCAGTCTTACAGACATAGGATCCCCAYGATCACCTGCATCACCAAGTTTCCTCTCAGGCAGCTTTAGCTGTTCTACATGGGCTAGTTAAGGATGCAGGAATTGCAATGCCCAGCTTCCTGAAATGGAAGGTAAACGACTCTGGACCTACAAAGCGAGGAAGACTTTCAAAGGGGCCTTCCACCTCTTGAAAGCCCACACTGAACACCTGCAAGACACAGGAACACTAGCTCCACTTTTTACAGAGAAAGCACAACGGGCATGAAGGTTCTTAAGCTCCCAACCTTTGTGAGAGAGGGGTGAACACAGCTGAAAGCTGGACTGGAAAAGCTTAGCTGGGGCAAGGTAGCCTCCAATACAACACGCTGGCTTCTGGGATGCCAGTTAGAGATGCCCAGCTCTCCTCCCTGGTGCGTAAAGAACACAAGTGCTCACCAGAGCTGGAGAACTTGGACAGCTCGAGGCTGAAGTCCTGTCCCTTGCGGATCTGCCCTTAGACTACTTGTTTCACCAGGACAAGCACCAAGGGATGGTCAGTCAAAAAAACCTGAAGTCAGCTGAGCTGCCACACTGCTCCTTATCCAAACACCTTACTTCTAAATTAAACAGTCWATCAAAAAACTATGGAAAGCTTTTAAAGCTGTGTTACTTACAGAGCCTTCTAAGCTGTGCTATCCCTCCCCTAGCCTGCATCATTTACTTCAGCCCTAAACTGCTGGGGCCCTGGGTTTGCCRGCTTCTCAGGACGTTCAGGAGGGAAAACCCAGTGCCCAAGGGCCGAGTTCACACAAAGGAAGAGCTCTCAGAGCCAGCAGAGGGAGCAGCCAGTTGCAGCACACGCGTGTTTTTGCAGGGTGACTGTAGAAAAGCAGGTATTCACTGATCTCTCCTGTTCTGGGGAATACCGAGGGCTGTTGATTTAACGCTAGCAGTCTCCATATTGCACTTACAAGCAGCCAGCTGGCTCCTTCCTGGCCACAGTTTCTGCCAGGCTGGTGTCAAGTCCTTATTGCTAAACACCACCTSTGCTTTTGTCCTGGACTCTACTCCTGTAATGAAAAGCTTACACAGCACAGCACTTCAGTGCAAGGACAGCTGCTGCTTTCCCCTTCTTTCTAGATGTGCACAGRACTCAATCCCTGGAGGCACCTTTACAAGCAGTTTTTGTGGAGACTGTTGTTTAAAGGGCAGTTTGCTTTAGTAAASCAGCGAGGGGATCCTTTGCCTTGCAGCGCGCTGCCTTTCTTCTAGCCTTAAAAATCTGTGAGCTGTTTAAGRGACCAAAGCCTGCGAGCAGTCAGATGAAGATATCCCGAGCCGAGCAGAAATACTGCGAAAGCTGTCACTGCTACTAGAGCTTCTCAGTCCTGCCACCAAACTCTGTTACTGTCATYACTGTTTTAAAAGAGGTCCATTTTTAAAACACATTTTCTGCATTTTGTACAGTACAGCTAAAGGAAAAACACACAKTTGCTAGATGTATTCTGGACTACATGGCACACGGCTACCAATGGCAGGGCCTATCTTGGCTGGTATATCACTATACAAGCCAGTCTTGTGAAATTTACTTCATAACTTCAGTCACCAACTGAAATTGCTCCCCAAAATCTAAAGGATATCGAGAAAACTGTCTTACCATTTTCAGCATGTAGTCTGCCATTGCATGGAGATGTCTTGTTGAAGATCCACTCACAATTATAAAATAATCACAGTATCTCAGTTCTAGAGGCACCTGGATGACACAAATGTCTTTAGCGTTCTCTTGCCTCAGCAGAGATACAACAAAGTCAATGTTGAACCTGGAAAGAGCATCATCTGGAATAGAAAAACAAAACAAAAAACAACAGTTGCAAATTTTCTTTTTAAATTCCCCAAATCAACAACTTAGAAATTACTACATATCAATGACTTAGAAGCTACTAAAGAAGCAAAACAGCACAAACTAAATTATAGCTTGAGTTAGGCCAGTCATTAAGGAGTTTGGTTAGACGCTGATAACAAAACATGAGCTGCAGATGTTTAAAGCCCATTCAAAGTTCAGAACACAGCAGTCTTTTGGTAAGTAATATTCTATCATTAGATACTGTTTATGTATACAGCACCCATGCTATGCTACACAGTTTCTCAGTAGTTAGCAAGCATTCAGGATTCCTTTAGGAAACTACTTCTTGCTGTTAGTATTTATTAGAGTCAATACTATAATCAGATATTYATAGCCAAGATGAATGAGCCTTAAATACTTCAACAGCCGCAGGTTTCAAGCATATTAAAAGCCCTTCAGAGTCAACAGGTGATATGTGGCGGTGAAAAGTGCTCTAAAATCTTAAGTAGATGAAATCAATACAGAAAATAGACCTGATATTCAGTTAGTGCAACTACTGTTCACACAGTGAAATCAGATTGTTTCCCATGGGGCCTAATGAGGTTAGTACAACTTGTGCACACACTGAAAGCTAATTCGGATCTGCCCGCAACACAGGCCTGCCTCTATGAAGTGAACACCAGTGTGAAGCACAGCCAAGCTCACACTTATCAATGCAAAGGAAAGGCAAACACACGACAGCTACATACAATCATATGCATGAACAGGGATGTGAAGTTGGATCAGATGTCTGTAAAACACAGCCCTTGAGCTCAGGGACTCRGGCACTCTCTTAACTTCTGCTGTGGCCACAGCTCCTCCAGACACAGCGGTTACCAAAGCTAAATATTTGCCAGGGAGCCACATGTGAAGCCTCTAGCGGCCGCTCTGGAGGAAGGATCAGGCAGCCCCCGGCTCGCGCTGGCACAGCCAGGCCTAGGCGAGGAGCAGCTACCACAGGCACCCACACAGAGCAAGCAAAGCCTGCAGCAGCCCCCGCGCTGCTAAATCCAACCCCAAYCCCCATACAGGGCAGCTGCTCTGGACACACATGGCAGAAACACCTGCAGCTCGGTGACAAGGGCCACCGCAGGCAGCAGCCATGGACTGTCACTTCAGGCAGGGTTTGGGAGGCGATGCTGCCCCAGCAGCAGCACTGCAACCCCGAGCTCCAGGGCCCAGCCACACAACACAGTTCCTTTTGCTGTAAAGCACCTACACGGCTCCTTGGGGGCTGTAAAACCAATGTCTACGTGCAGARGATAGCTTAGGGTTTTTATTTTATTTTGAGGCATGATTGTATATCATAACGCTACTTCACTAGGCTATGAAGCTTTAAAGCTATGAAGCCGCAGGCCTGAGAGAGCCGCCTGAAACTGCTCGGGGAAAAAATAATAATAAACAAAACCCACAAGAACAAGCTTAAAACCGAGGACCCGCGCGGGAAAGCGGCGAGCGGGCAGAAAGGGCTGCGCTGCCCGCCGGCCCCGAGGGCAGCGCGTGTCGCCCCCAGCCCCGCCGGCCCCTACCTGCCGCCGGGCGCCGCTCCGCCGCGCCCCGC